CATTTATTTTTATTTACCTGGCATTTTTTCAAGCTCTGCACAATTCTCCAAAATTACATGTAAAATATCCACAATAAAAGCACTTGGCTGTGCTTCATATATATATATATATATATATATCAGTTTTTTATCTTAGGGATAGCCTTTATTAAGGCTAAATGCTCTACTGAACACGAAAAACATGCATTTTTATGCAGCACACAGGCCTTATTAATCATCTAGAGGCTCTGAATTACAAGTACTCACAGTATGAGGCCACTACTGTAGCCACAGTAGTTTAGCTGTTTTGTCAGGATCAGCATCACATGTGCTAATTTCCTTATGAAAATTACCTGAACTGTGAACTTCTTAACACCCGTAAGGAATGGCAGTGTTACGTATTTATGCAAAAAAAAAAAAAAAAAAAAAAAACAGAAAAAGACATTATCAGTTCCACAACATAAAATGTGTTTATGATTAGCCGAGTTAATCTGTCTGTGAAAAAGAACTTTATCACCTTAAAGTGACTGATGCCTAAAGCAGAAAGCAACAATAATGATATCGCCTCACCTAATTAACACCTTCCTAAACCGCGTGTACATATTTACAAGTAAACCACTCAATGAATAACAAATACAAAATGCTGAAGCTCTTTTTGTTGTTCCTGCTACAATGTTGTCACTCACCCTACCCATTGTTCTGCTTATTCTGGTGTGGGATGGCGGGGGCAGTATATTGAGCAGGGAGGCCCGGACATCTCTTTACACAGTCTTCTCTTCCAACAACAGCAACATTGCATCAAGACCAATGTGAAAATGTTTGGCCTGACATTCCTTAAATAAAAGCTTATCAATGCTTACCAAGCACTTTTTATGCTAGAGCAGGGCCGGAGCCTGAGGGGTGGCCAGTGCCACCCCTGGCACCTTGTTTGCCACCACAGGTGCCCCTGTCCATTGAATGAGAAGTGGGTGGGGATCTTGGATTTTGTATTTGCGTTTAGATTTCATTCAAGCTGAATTATAGCCATTTGTAGATTTAGAATTAGCATTCTTAAGATTGGTGGTTAGCTTAATTTGGAATTAGCAAGGAGATTTGGCTACTACACAACAAATTTAATCTCAAGAAGTCTTAAAATGACTGAATTGTAGCCCTTTAAAGTTAGTTGTGGTGGCTGTCTTGAATTTTTTATTAACATTTTTGAGTTTGGAAAGATTGTTTTGGCTACTTCTACACTAGCCTGGTTAAAACCAGACCCTCGCCCGTCGCTTTGCTTCAAACGAGGGTCTGGACTCTTGGCTATAGAGAAGAGATTCTTGCTGGAGGCGTGGCCTCTGCTAAAGTTTAAAATGATTGGACCGGTTGGCCGCAACACACACAGCTGCACTGTCAAGGAGGCTAAGCTAAGAAGCTAACCAGAAATGGTGTGTGCTGTAAACAACCCTACTGAGAGGAGAGAAGTACCGAGCCAAATGAGACGACTGTAAATGAGAGCTGCTGCTTTGTCAGACAAATTTAATTTAATTTGGAAGCCKTTTCAACACCGACTGGCTTCATTTATTTCCTCCACTGCCATTGCTAAACTAACTAGCAGACACTGTGCAGAAAATCGACGTCGTTCAAAACTCAGCCTTCTGTTCTCTGATTGGCCCGGATGAAAATTCTCCTGAAGAAATCCTTGTCTATGTGAGAAGTCCCAGACGGAGCAGTGAAGGGAAACTAGAATTGAGCGGAGCTGCACAGGAAGGCAAGGGCCAGGCTACTTCTACACTAATCTTCAGCTTTGTTTGTCTAAAAATGGTTGAATAATAAATGGTGACTTGCATTCAGCATGTTTTTTTTATCATTCTTAGATACTGATCACAGAAACTTTCATCTCAATGTTTCTTAAAACAGCTTCATTAAAGCTATTTAGAATTCTCTGTGGTGGCCATCTTGCTTTTCTTCATTTTTTTTATGTGCCCCCTCTAAAAATAACCTTGGTCACATCTGTGCCACTACTTGGAAAGAAAAAAAAAGTCCAGCTCCGCCCCTGTGCTTGAGTTTTAGGCTCAAATAATTTTAAATTGGGAAATGATCGATTTGTACCTCTTTTTTAAATATTAAATATTTTATTCTGCCCAACCTCATGTCAGAGTTGTCTCACATTTTAGTTTAAAAACTGTTTAGTTGGTTATTAGCTTAATTACAGTAGTTTATGTGTTTGCTTAGCTGTGGCAGACATCTTAAAAAGGGCTAACTCCAGTCGTTAATCAGTTGCAGATGTGCATCTAATGATTACTCTCTGAGAGTTTTAATAAATATGACCCAATGGTTCATAAGATACATACACACGTGCACTCACAAACACACATAAAAACATTATTACTGCTTCACCTTCAGAGATGGACAATAATTAAAGCAATTATACAATTTTTTGGCAATGAAGCTTTAAAATTACTTGTCAAATGTTTGCTTAAAAGCAAAGTCTTGCATATAAGTTTCTTCTGTGGTAGTGGGGAGGCAGTGGAGCGTACTTCATACGGTGAAAAACAACCTTTATGATCATTAAGAATAAACCAGAGGTTTGCAAACAGAAGCAACATAAATATTTGAATAAACCCATGGTAAATAGGATAATGTCGGGAGAAGTGAGGAGCAATTAAGGATTTTATGCCCATCATAAGAATGCAGAAAGGGCTTCCATTAGTGGTAAACAAAGTAAAACAAACATAAAATTCTCATGCTATGAAAAAAATGATGGCAGTGTGTTTTTTTAAGGCTGTCCAACATGGAGAGCTCTGATGCCAAAATAATGTTTGAGTGCTGTTTAGTTGCTTGTGAGAAAACTGAGCTGGCTGCACAACGTTTTATAATTGCATGGTCATGGAAATATTGTAACTGGGAACAGTTCCCAGACAAAAAAAGATCATCCAAAGTGTGGACCACCTCAGCCATCATTATTTTTTCTCCCTTATACGTGTCTGTCCTGGAGTTCTGCATGATGCACCAGTTTTCTGACAACACAACAGCAGCTCCCAGTGTTTGCTCGCCTGCTGCCCCACCTGCTTTTGGACCCATTAATGATCATACCTGAATGCAGTATTTTAGAACGTCCAAAAAAAAAATACAAAATACTTTTAAAACTTGTCACTTGTTCAAGATACAATTTTGTGATTGTTTGTTTGTTTAAAAAAAAAAACAAACTTTTATTAGTCATTTGTAGGCCCTGACTTATAACTCCAGCTTCACAAGAAAGAATATTGCACAAAATACCCACAGGAATTACAAACGACATGATCAAATGGTATGAATATACAACATACCTCCATAAAGGTTTTATGGAGCAATAACACATTTTAAAAGGGTAGGTCTCATGTCTTATCAATTGACTTGGACTACATGCAATTACTTTTTTCATGTGCACCTTTTAAAAAACATTCGACTATTGACGGATTGCATGTCAGTGCTTGTTAGATTGATGTCTCTATGGAAAAAGGGAATAAAAAGCTTGAGCCTGACAAACTCATCCTAACATACACATGGAGTGGTTTGGTGAGACGGTACAGAGACGAGTGTTGATTGGACGTTCTCCACAGCCTCGGGCGAGGCAGGGGAACTCAAGGCATGCTACAGGCACGTTTAAGGGCATAAAAACCCGGCTGCGTGTCAGTCGACTGGAACGTGGAAGTGGGTCTGTGATCAGTCCAACATGGAGAAGAAAAAATTAATCTGTCAATRATCACCTACATTCTCCCCCTTATAAATCAAGAGACTCAAGTATGGAACAAGCACATGAATGAAAGTTGTAGAAAAGTAGTTTTGAAGTTTAACATGAAAATGTAACTCCATGACAATTTAAAGTGATAGTCAAGTTAACAAAACTGAAACTATGTCACCTGAAGTGGTGTATAAAGGTTCATATTGACAAAATTAAAGTGTATTTGTATTTAAAGGGGACTTGTGCTAAATCCACTTGTTTTGTTTTTAAATACATTTTGTTGTGTCGTTGGAATCATAATGAGAAAAGTTGAATTTAGTCTTTCCTGGTGCTGAGTAAATATCTTTATAGTCTGTTTGGGTCAGGTTTTAGTTTTCTCATTTTCTATGATGTTTTCTGTGTCAATTACTTCAAATTATCTGTATAAACAGGAAGGATAAACAGGATGTGTCTCCTTTAATGAAAAAGTGAACATAGCCATTTTTTTTCTCTTATTACCCTTCAATGTCAGACATATAAGTTTAAAAAAGTGGTCTTCAGTTGGCTTTTATTGCCCACTTYATTACATTCTTAGTTAAAATATTTCATGAATCCAGCAATAAAAATGCTCATACAGGAACAATGTTAGAAAACAACAATAACATTTAGAACTTAATCCACATTTAAACCAGTGGGAAAATGAGTGCCAAGAATGTGAACAATGGGAAACCATCCACCACCTGCTCCAGTTGGACATTGTAGAGAAAGTAGAATATCACCAAKTGAAGACTGATTACAGAAACAGAAACACATGCAAGTTGTTTTTTCYATCCTTATGGGGACTTTGAATTGACTTCCATTCATTTTCCAGTCAATTCTGTAGCCTAATCCTGACCCTTTACCCTAAACCTAACTACACCTGACCCTAAATTTAGCCTAAACTCAATTCACATCTTAGTCCTAAACCTACCCCCACCCCCCCAACACACACACACACAAAATCGACATCTGTACCCCTGAGGACCAGGCCTTGATTCCCACGTGGAGCACTGGGTCCCACAAGACTGTGTTTTTTTCTGGAAAATAGTCCTCCCGGTGTAGCAAAAATGTACACACACACACACACACACACACACACACACACACACACACACACACACACACACACACACACACA